AGTATAGCCATAGACTTATGCTGTAATCCCATGTTAATTGCCCATAGACTCAAGAATCCCATGTTAACGTATAGCATCGCTGTGTGATCCTTGTTTGTTTATTTATTAAATTTATTAATAAACAACGTCATTAAAATAACAGAGAATAATTTATATTCACCACAACACCCAAAATGCCTGGTCATATAAAATTACCTGATTCAGATTGTAAAAAATTACCTGATCTTATTACTTAATATTACTGACCTAAAGATACGGGTTTGCTGTCAATGGCGGTGTTGGCCAATCACGAAGTGGTACACATAAATAAGTTGTTTTATAAATCAATAGTTACTGATAAGCCTTAAATTATTAAAATGTCTATCACCGGGAAATGGTACGTAATAAACTACACATGTAAATTTATTCAATGCAACATCCACCGGGATACTGATGAAAGTGTGGAAGTAAATGAACAATGATAAATTATAATTGATAATTTAATATTATTAATTTAAACATTAAATAATATGATTAACAATAATAATAATAAGACAGATATGAATCCCTGTATGGTATCCGAAGAGCTGTATTTCATACAACTCTTATCATCGATACTATTGTTTGCCATAATATTAATCACATTCATTGGCAATGTTTTGGTGATAACAGCGGTCACCACAACACCTAACCTACGGATCGCATTCAATTACCTGATCCTATCGCTCAGCATCGCTAACCTGTTGATGAGTGTGGTGTCAATGCCGGTGACCGCGTATCAAGAAGTTGTACATTTGAATACATGGTCATTTGGAAAGACCGTATGCGTTGTACATCATGTGATTACATATTCCCTGGGAATCGCCTCATTCTTCCACATCTTCTTCATAGCCATCGATAGGTATCTCTCGGTCTCGAGGGTTGACTACTCGGCGAACCGTAGTCTAAGGCCTACGCTGGCAATGATCGCCATATCGTGGATATTATCTGTGGCACAGGGTGTGAAATTAATGGTCAATTACGGTAATACTGATCTGTTTTTTGTGGAGAGCATAGGCGCCAGTATGTGTTTGTGGGCCGACAACTCTAGTGGTTTTATCACCATATTTACCATCATATTAATGCCCATGTGTATCATTATTTGTTTGCTTTATTGCGGTATTTATAAGGTTAGTACATTGTTGATTATTAATTATGGATTATAATGAGAGTGATCAAATGAACATTATCATTATTGTAATGTGAGTTTTGGTTTTTCAGCTAGTTATGTTAATTTATTGGGATTTTATTTTTATTATCATAGAATTTTAATAGCGAAATGTTTTTACCATCGTTATTTTAATAAATTGAATTTATATAACTTTACACATTAGAAACAATAAATTGATGAGGTTATTTTAAAATACTGCAACTATTTACCAATTGCTATATTGTTATACAATAGTTATATAATTATTTAATAGGATACTTTTACTAAATTAATGCTTTTTACAACTAGTTTTGCAAAACCCAAACAAAACTGAAACTTAAAATTAGATTTTTGTCAATTAGTATTTTATGTACTTTATATTTATTTTAACTTTATTTTAAATATAATATACAGAAAGCGTGTGAATTCCTCACCAAAACTGCAATCATCCCAAATAGTAATACTCGCATTGAGCAACAAAACAATCTGGCGCTGGATAAAGAATTTAAACTGGCCAAACAGGCGGTAATTGTGACCGTGGTGTTTACCATATGTGTTTTGCCATTTTTCATATTGAGAATCGCCTTAGATCTCCAACATTTGACCTACCAGTCGGTGGCAGTAATGCACGTTGCATTGTGGTGTATTTATATTAATTTAATGCTTAATCCAATAATCTATGCCCTTTATAACAATGACTTTCTCATCGCATTTAAACGATTGTTGAAAATGTAGCATGGTGTTTATTATTTTGGGTTTTGTTTAATGCTGGGTATTTATCATTCATTTTAAATAACAACATTTTGCAAAAATTCACTTGTATATTTTTTTTACATATGCGTAACTTTTTATAACTTTGATGATTAAAACTTTTAATTAAAATGTAAATATTTGTTATATAATTTATAAAAATTTATTTTAGCTTAAAATTTAATTTTTGGTTAATATTATAATTTGTTGTTTTGTTAAATTAAAATACAAATTAAAATAAATACATTGATTATTTTGAATAATTAAAAAAAACTACATTGTGAACAGGAAATTGTACGTAAATAAATATAAAATTACATGTACATTTTATGTTAATAAAATAAATCAAAACTTTATTAAATGTCATTAAGCCATTAAAATGACAGCAAATAATTCAATAAATTATACTATGATATCAGTTAATGAGTTGTATTTCATACAACTCTTATCATCAATACTATTGTTTGCCATAATATTCATCACAATAATCGGCAATCTATTGGTCATACTGTCGGTCATCAAAACACCTAAACTGCAGATCAGACCCAATTACCTGATCCTATCGCTCAGCATCACTGACTTGTTAGCGGGTATGGTGTCAATGCCGGTGACCGCCTATCTAGAAGTGGTATACCTGGGCGACTGGCTTATGGGAAACGCCATGTGTCACATCCATATGTTGATCGCTCACGTCCTGTCCATCTCCTCATTTCTCCACATCTTCTTCATAGCCATCGATAGGTATCTCTCGGTCTCAAGGGTTGAGTACTCGACAAACCGGAGCCTAAGGCCGGCGTGGGTTATGATTGCCATTTCGTGGACATTAGCGGTGATGAAAGGTATGGGCCGTTCGTTGAGCCATATTAACAGCGATTTATTGTACGTGGAGAGTATGGACGCACAACTATGCGCCTATTCGGACGACCCGGATTATTGGGTGCTCGGCACCGTGGTTATAGCCATGACATTGTCCGTGGTGATTTACGCACTTTATTTTAGCATTTATAAGGTAAATATTGTAACTAATGAATTGATAAAATTAAACTAAATTAATAAATAATTAATGACTTTAGTGACTTTAAGACTGGTTTTTGTCACATAAAAGTCAATGCTTTATTAATAAAATTTTACAACTAATAGAAATCGTGTGAATTTCGTAACAAAACCCAAACTAATAGTCAAAAACAAAAGCCAACGAATCGGGAGATGAATCGGGAGATTCAAGTGGCCAAACGCTCCGTAACGGTTGCCCTGGCGTTTACCGCCTGTTATCTACCCTATTGGTTAATGTGTCTCACTGCAGATATTAACAAGCTGGATTATAAAACGGTGTATTATGACCGACCGTATGGCCACTTGAAATTCACGATTCAGCGCCCGATCCTATAAACCACATTATTCATACTGAATTGTGGTTAAAAATTAAATTTTTATTTTAAAATAAATGTACAGTATACTTAAGAAACATAAATATTGTGCGAAGTTATGCATACGGTATTATACAACAATGAATTTACATATATAACATTTATAAAATTTAAACAAAACCAAAAATAATAATGTTACATGTTACAATCTTAGCAATCGTTTAAATGCATTAAGAAATCTTCTGTTAATTAGGGCATAGATTATTGGATTAATCATTGAATTAATATAAACAGACCACAAAACCGCGTGAATACCGGCTACCGATTGGTAGGTTAAATGTTTAAAATCTAAGGCAAATCCTGTAATTTTAAATGGTAAATAGCATGTTAAAAATGCCAGGGTCACAATTATGGCTCGTTTGCAATCTTGAAACTCTCGTTTGAGCGCCCGATCGTTTTGGTGCTCAACACCACTTGAATTACGAGTTGCTGTGATTGCAGTTTTGCTGAGAAAATCACACGCTTTCTGTATAAATTATATACATGGTAATTATAATAATGTATTTAGTTTCTAAATTATAAATAGAGTGATCAGATTATTTTTAACTATATTCCTGGACACACTCAAATTAAAAATAATAGTAATTAATAATAGTAATTAATAATTACTAACCTTATAAATGCCACAATAAAGAAAACAAGTTATAATATACATTGGCATTGATATTATGGTGAATATTGTTATTAAACCCTCGGGGTGGGCCGCCCACAAACATATCCTGGCGCCTATACTGTCAACAAATAATAAGTTATTATTACGGCGAATGTACAGTATATGGACGCCCTGTGCCACAGAGAATGTCCACGAAATGCCAATCATTACCAGCGCCGGCCTTAGGCTCGGGTTCGCCGAGTAGTCAACCCTCGAGACCGAGAGATACCTATCAATGGCTATGAAAAATATGTGAAAGCCTGAAGCGTATGACAACACATATGTGATAACCTGGTGTACATTACACGTGGTGTTTCCAAATAACCATTTATTCATGTGTACCACTTCTTGGTAGGCGTTCACCGGCATTGACATTACGCCTACCATCAGGTCAGTGACGCTGAGCGATAGGATCAGGCAATTAAATCTGGTCCGCAGTTTGGGTGTTGTGGTGATCGCTGTTATCACCAAAACATTGCCAATAATTGTGATTAATATTAATGCCAACAATAGTATGAATGATAAAAGTTGTATGAAATACAGTTCTCCCGATGCGATACAGGTATTTATGTGGGTGTTATTAATTGTCACATTAATCATGTTGCTTAATGTTTAATTGATTTAATACTAAATTATCATTTTGCAATTTGACAATTTATTTTATGTGTTTCCATGTGGAAGTTGTCTTTAATAAAGTTACATGTACGTTTGTTTGCACATTAGCTTTATTATATAATATACATGTGTACAGTTTAAACACAGTTTCCTGATGAGTTAAGTTGATACTTTCTTGGAACATTCATTTTATATATTAATGTTGTTTAATTCATTATGTAATTATGGTTGATTAGTTAATTTAATGCTGAAATATAATATCATAACTGGCAAATATTTAAATGTAATAATTACAAAAACTTTTACATTAACTTCCCATTTTTAAAATATTTACATAAATAAATAAAATATTTATTAGTTAGTATCTAACTGTAAACTGTATTTTGTTGGTACTTAAGGCTTTAAATTTGATAATTAATTGTATTTATGCATTAGAAATAACTAATTAATCTTAATAAATACGTTTAATTGTGATTGATTGAAAAATAAATGCTGTAAAATTACAAGAAACCTAGTTATTCAGAAAATCAAAAATTAATCTTGTAACAATTAAACGATTGAATGTTTAAATTAATTTAATATTAAAATACTGTAATTAAATTAACAAGAGCTTTATCTGTTATAATTAAATGTGCAGAGATTGAGGCATACATTTATAAATCGCAAATTGTTTGTTGAAAATATTTAACAATATGACAATATTTATTTTAATAATTTCATATAAATAATACATATATTAATAATTAATACAAATATAACAATTTTATACACTATAATTATTATAATATTTTACTACATTTTCATTAATCGCTTAAAAGCCTGCCTAATATCACTATTAAATAGGGCATAGATTATGGGATTAAACATTGAATTCATATAAACTGTCCATATGATTATATGTATCATGGTAACCGATACGTATGTTAAATGTTTAACATCCATAATTAAAACCATTAAAGTGAATGGTACTGTGCTTATGGTAAATGCCAGGGTAATTATGACCGACCGTATGGCCACTTGAAATTCACGATTCAGCGCCCGATCCTTTTGTTTGTCAATTACTGCTGTATTGCGTTTGGTTTGGGTTTTATTGCGAAATTCACACGATTTCTATTAATTGGATAATTAATTATAATTAGACTGTGGTTTAAATATAGTATATAACAATTAATAAATACAGTATATGTATTGAAATAATTAATTATGTATAATATCTATATTTGATGAGTATATTATAAATGGTAACTAATTAGTTAATTATTTTTAGTATTAATCATTATAATTATTTTAGGTATATAAGTATTTATGACTAATATTTTCTTGAAGATTTCTATTTGTAATGATAATCGCTTTAAATAAAATTATATTGGTATTAATAGTTTGGTGTACAATACTTACTTAATATTTTATAAAGCAATATCAATAGAAAATATAATGTAAATTTACTTTATAAATGCCATAATAAATCGCGTAAATGAACACCATCAGTATTTGTCCCACTATGACAGTAACGAAAGTTATTTCATCAGGGTCGCCAACAAACAGACATATATGGCCGCCAATGATGTCCACATACAACAAATCAGTGTTAATATGACTGTACGTTAGGCCCAAAACCATAGTCACGGCTGATGTCCACGAAATGGCAATCATAACCCGCGCCGCTCTTTTGCTCGGATTCCTTGAGTAGTCAACCCTCGAGACCGAGAGATACCTATCGATGGCTATGAAGCAGATGTGGAGGAATGAAGCGATGGACAAGACATGGCCGAAGAATAAGTGAATGTGACACATGGTATATCCCATACGCCACTGATTCATGTGGATTACTTCGTGGTAAGCAAACACCGGCATTGATAGCACGCCTGTCATTAGGTCAGTGATGCTGAGCGATAGGATCAGGTAATTGGACCGGATTTGCAGTTTAGGTGTTGTAGTGATGGCTGTTATGACTAATATATTGCCGATAATTGTCACAAATATTATGACAAACAATAGTATCGATGATAATAGTTGTATAAAATACAACTCTTTGGGTATCACACAATTTATCTGTGTGTTATTGTTTGTCACGTTAATCATGTTGTTTTAACTTATGGCATTTAATGTAAAATTATCATGTTGTATTCTTGTTTCCAGTGGATGTAAAATTAAATAAATTTACATGTATAATTCACTACGTAACATTTCCTGGTAATAAGCAGTTATCAACTAAAGTTTTACATTAGTTATTCAATTATAATATTTGTTACTTATTTATTAATTAAATAACAATCATAGTGATTTAGACCATACAGACATAAATACACGCACATACATTTATACCACGGTTAATTTTACCTACAAATTACACATTTTTAACAACTAGTTACATGAGTAAATACATTGATAATTTTTACAATGATAACTTTTATTTACAATAATTGTTACAATCTACAATCTTTGTGTTAATGCTGATTATTATCTGTTATTATAAAGTTATTATTATAATTATAAGTTATAATTTATAACTGTAGAAAATTTATGCCAAAAATTATAACATTTTATACATAATAAATATCTGTTAATTTATACCAAAATTAAAATCAATTAATTGTTTACCGTAGTTAATTTTGGTTTAAATAATATTTAAAAAAATTATAAAGCACCATGTGTAAACAAAACAAAATAATGGCTTGCTACAATCTGAGCAATCGCTTGAATTCCATGAAAAAATCCATGTTATATAAACCATATATAATGGGATTAAGCATTGAATTAATATATATTGACCAAACAACGAGGTGAAGATTGGCCATTAACTGGTAGTTCAAGTGTTTAAAATCAACAATAAACCGTGTTATGCAATATGGCAATAAGCATATGGTAAACACCATGGTAACGATTACGGATTGTTTGGCCACCAGAAACTCACGATTTAGAGCCTGGTCTAATTTTCGTTGACTACCAGTTGTTTTTCGATTTCGGTTAATTTGGATTATGTTACGAAATTGACGTGATTTCTGTATAGTATAATAATAATAATAATGCAATTATGTAATGGTCAAATATTTCTAGCTTAAATTATAATTTAATATAAATATAATTTAAAATTATTAATGAATAAAACATTTGGAATTATTATTGAATATTACTAATTAAATAATTGTACAAAAAATTATATATTATTTATATTACTTAATTTAATAAGATAATAATTACCCTATAAATGCCATAATAAATCAAATAAATTACAATAAACAATATCAGGAAAACGACAGTGAATGCTGGCATCAAATCATCGTGATCGTCGTCCCATTGACACATATAGGCGCCCATACTCTTAACAAACATTAGCCCACTATTACGGTGAGTGTAAATGCCTTTCACGCCCTGTGCTAGAGATAGTGTCCACGAAATGCCAATCATTATCAGCGCCGGCCTTAAGCCCCGGTTACGCGAGTACTCGACCCACGAGACCGACAAATACCTATCAATGGCTATGAAAAAGATGTGGAAGAATGAAGTGGTAGAGCAGACATATGTAATAAACTGTTGTACGTTACACACGGCTAACCCCATGTGCCACTCGCTCAGGTGTACCACTTCGTGGTAAGCGGTTAATGGCATTGAAAACACGCCCACCACGAGGTCAGTGATGCTGAGCGATAGGATCAAGTAATTGGATCGGGTATGCAGTTTAGGTGTTGTGATCACCGATATTATGATCAACAAATTGCCGCAAATTGTGGTAAATATTATGGCAAACAATAGTATCGATGATAAGAGTTGTACGAAATACAGCTCTTTGGCGGATACCTCACCGGAATTCATGTCTATTATGTTATTATTTAATGATAATGTTTCAAACCTTTACTGTTATTATCATGTTATTTAAATATATATAATTTTGTGTTAGTGCTACAATGTAATTGCAATGAATAAATTTACATGTGCAATTCTTTACGTAACATTTCCCGGTGATTTAAAATGACAATATATAATACATTAGCATAAATACTGAATAATACATCCAAATAGAGGACCGACTTCTAAATAGAAGACAGTTGGTCACCCTATATAACAGACAGTAAATCAATGCACGTATAATGTTAGGCATACCCGTATATAAGAGAATGTAGATAAAAAACTGTATTTCACTCGTATGTTTTTAAATATTAATGCAATAACATTTGTTTTACCAAAAATTGCAACAAGATCACTTAACCTCATCTTTATATATCAAAGGCTTGATTAAAAAAATATTTTTTATGCAAAAATATATAAAATTTTAATAATTTACTAACATTTTGTATTTTATTATTTCAACAAAAAACAAATTATTACATTGTTAAATTTTAAACAATCCTCTGAACGATTGAAAAATCATTGTTATAGAACATAATATAACAATATATTATATTGAACATACAATTTCATTTTATAAACAAACAAAAATACAATGATGTTATATAGTGATCAGAAATTAATATTGCGAGAGATTATGCATGTGTAAAATTACATAATTTAATTAGATATAATACACAGGTAAATTTACATCATGTTAGCAATTTTATATAATAATTTTTAAAAATCATAAATAATAATCATGTTAATTAAATCTGAGCAAACGTTTGAATGCATTTAAAAATCTCTTGTTAATCAAAGCATAGATTATGGGATTAAGCATTGAATTGATATAAATAGACCACAAAGTGATATGAATGCCGACCATCGACTGATAAGTCAAATGTTTAAGATCTAGAACAAATCTTAGGATGTAAAATGGTAAAAAGCACAAGGTGCATGCCACAGTCACAATGATGGCCAGTTTAGCATCGTAAAACTCCCGTTTCAGCGCCCGATCGTTTTGCCGCTCAATACCAGTTGTGTTGCGATTTTGTGTTATTTCCATTTTGTCGAGAGTTTCACACGCTTTCTGTGTATTGTATATTATCTTTGGTTAATATTAATTTTGGTTTATTATTTATCTAGTTACACTATTTTGAAGTTAAATGACCAAATGAGTACAAGGATAATTTATAAGTTCTGTACATTTTCACACTCTACTTATAACTATTATTTATTGTAATTGTTATTAATTATTAGTAGCACTGTAATTTATTACTACTAAATTATTAATTACTAACCTTGTAAATACCACAATAAAGTAAGCAAATTATGATACACATTGGCATCGATACTACGGTGAATGTAGTAATCAAACCATCCGGGTCAGCCGTCCACAAGCATATACGGGCGCCTATTGTTTCAGCAAATAATAGATCTTTATTAAGGCGAGTGTAGAGCACATGTACGCCATGTGTCGAAGATAATGCCCACGACATCACAATCATTATCAGCGCCGGCCTTAGGCTTGGGTTACGTAAGTACTTATCCCTCGAGACCGAGAGATACCTATCGATGGCTATGAAGAAGATGTGGAGAAATGAGGCGATGCTCATGGAATATGTGATAAACCCATGTATATCACACGTGGTCTTTCCAAACGGCCACTTATTAATGTGCACCAATTCTTGGTAGGCGTTCACCGGCATTGACACCACACCTACCATTAGGTCAGCGATGCTGAGCGATAGGATCAGGCAATTGAATCTGGTCTGCAGTTTAGGTGTTGTGATAATTGCTGTTATCACCAAAACATTGCCAATAATTGTGATTATTATAAACGCAATCAATAGTATCGATGATAAGAGTTGTATGAAATACAGCTCTCCAGATGCTATACAGGTATTTGTGGCATTATTTGTCACATTAATCATGTTGTTTAATATTTAATTTATTTAATACTTTATTATCATTGTGTATTTATTTGCAATTTATTTTATGTGTTTCCAGTGAATGTTTCCTTTAATCAATTTTTATATGCGTTTATTTATTAAAAAATTGTTGTTTGATTAATTATATACAATAATTATATAATGTATGCATGTACATATGTTTTGGCACAGTTTCCTGGTAAGTTAAATTAATACTTTCTTGGAACATGCATGATATTAATGTCTGTAAAACATTATATAGTTTTATAGTTTAATGTATAACATTAAAATTTTACGTATCAATTAAAATGCTAATTACAAAGAATTTTAACATTAACTTTTTATTTTTGAAACATTTACATAAATATCAATATACATACTATTGATAATTTTATATAACTAGTAAGTATTATACTATTATTAAACATGGAAACATGTGTAAAATTATAAGCAGGACTAAATATTATTTATATAATGTATTATATTTATACTACAAATTTATTAATTTAAGTTTTTTCTAACAATCGCTTGAATGCCAGCCGGAAATCGCCATTAAACGAGCCATAAATGATTGGATTAAGCATTGAATTGATATAAACAAACCATACAATTAAATGCATGACAGCCACCGACTGGTATTTTAATTGATTAACATTTATAGTAAAACACAATATAATATACGGTAACATGCATATGGTAAACGCCAGGGTAATTATGATTGAACGTACGGCCACTTGAAACTCACAACTCAGCGCCCGATTGGCTGACGTTTGCCGTTGAGTACTAGCTTTGGATCGTTTATTGCCATTAGTTTGGGTTTTGTGGCGAAATTCACACGATTTCTATTAATTATATGAATTGTTTGATTAATTTTATCAACAATTTTATCAAAAATACCTTACTTTATATATGCCATAATAGAGCGAATAAATAACCACGAGCAATATTAGCCCTATTGGGAGTGCAACTAAAGTTAAACGATCGGGATCGCCGACAAAAAGGCAAATATGTGCGCCTATACTCTCCACGTACAACAAATCAGCTCCGATATGATTGATTGTTAGGCCCACACCCATAGCCAGGGGTAGTGTCCACGAAATGGCAATCATAACCCGCGCCGGCCTTAGGCTCGGATTACGCGAGTACTCAACCCTCGAGACCGAGAGATATCTATCGATGGCTATAAAGAAGATGTGAAGGAATGAGACCGTTGTTAACACGTGTGTAAAGAAGATATGGATGTGACACATGGCGTAACCCATACGCCACTCACTCAGGTGTACCACTTCGTGATAAGCAAACACTGGCATTGATAGCACACCTGTCAACAGGTCAGTGATGCTGAGCGATAGGATCAGGTAATTGGACCGGATTTGCAGTTTAGGTGTTGTGATGACAGCCGATATCACAAAAATATTGCCGATAATTGTGATTAATATTATGATAAACAATAGTATCGATGATAATAATTGAACAAAAAATAAATCCTCGGATGATATCATAATAATATGAAATTCCATTATTGTATTCATAAATTGTTAGATATTCCAAGTTGTTAGATATTTATAAATGTCATAGTGTAAATTATATTTATGCACAATTATTATTTGCAATTTTTATACTGTATTAACATTAATTACTAATATGCATAATTGTTCATGTACACTTTTTAAACACACTTTCCTATTAAGCTGACGTTTGTGGTAGTTTGATTTTTAATGATAATAATCTTTTTATTTATTTTATTTATGAATTATGTAATATTAATACCAATACAAACTAACAAAAAATTATAAAAATAATCATACGAAAGTGTAATATTTAATTACGGGCTTTATTATTAACAACAACAACAAATATAATTATAACAATTACTTAATATAACAATAACATATGAGTTTAGTTAAACGATATACTCAACTAATAATTTATATATGCATCGTAATAAGGCAACATTTCAAAAAGACAAATATTATCTCAATCAAATACAAAACATTTCTAAACTATGTGATTTATTGGATTGTGTTGGATTTACCACTGGCGTCGACAGCGCATTTACCACCCGAGCCCAACCCGGAGCATTTATTATTTTTGATGGTGTTTTTGGTGCCGCCCATGTTGGAATCCTTTATAAAATGGATCTAGATAATAAACAGTAAAATATACAAATTATCAAAAAAAATACCAAGTAACATACATTATTTTAAGTTAACGCAATAACATAATACAAGCCATACCTGGAAACCATCTTTCAATGAATTCTTGCCGGTGTTATCAGTGATGGTATAGCCTTCGCCCTTACAGTCGGTCCAGGAGTCGGCGTCATTTTTGCCCGACATACCAGTGCCGTCAAATGTGTTGCCCTTAATAGTGCCACAACACGAGCCCTCTTTCATGTCGACGCCCTCCGCGGCCACATTGGGTCCGATCCGGTTGTTTAGCACCTGATTCCGGTCGCTCTTGTCTTGTTTACCTCCGGCCCAGTTTTTGAACTAGATGGCAGAGAGAGAGAGAGAGAGAGAGAGATTTGATTAAACTTATTTGATATAAAATAATCAGAAGTTGTAATTATTATACCCCACTTAATTGTGTGATATTGTAATATTAAAATCATATTTTAAATACTTTTATTAAAATATACTTATTTACCCGACCATATTGTTTACTAATTTACTATATAGATTTTACTAAACTAACTTATAACGTGCAGAGTAATTACACAAAGGTGCATAATAAATATAATAAAATAATTTCCTAATAATTGTGAATCACTGTTTGTTTCACTTAAACAAGGTATAATTAACTCATAGCGTGCAAAACTATACACTGTACGACAACAATTTGAACACATCTAATTAAATTGAGCATGCAGCATGTTTATACAGAAGGGGAGATGTGGGGCAACATGTAAATAAAACTTACGGCATTTCCAATATACACGCCTTCACCAAAACCCTTGTCCGTATCGCTGCCTTTGCCGGTGTCGTGAATAAACGAGTTCTGTAGGGTATTATCGGCACTACTGGCCCGAAAGTGGACCGCCTCTTGAACAACGTTACACACTTCCACATTGTCCAACACGTTATGGTTGGCCCCCTCCAGCATGATGCCCTTTTTGGCGCCGTCCACCTTAAACCCCTTAAGCACCCACCAGTCGGCCTTCAGCCAAAACCCGTAGCTATCGCCCGATAGTACAGCCTTTTTACTGCCCGTGACAGTGATGGGCGAACCCGATTTGCCCGAGATGGTGCCCGTGAATTTGCCCTTGTACGCCCCGTCGGCCAGTTGGATGGTATCGCCCGGCGCTGCCGATGATAGCGCTTTGGTTAGTTGGTCGGCGTTGGACACCGATATGGTCTTGCAGTGGCCGTAAGCGGTGAGACAACTGAGCGTTAGTATTAATGTAAACTTCATGGTGATATTTTTTAACTATAGTAATTTTGACTATTTTATAACAACTAGTTATGTTTTGTGTAATAGATTTAATTACTGTTTAACTCACTTATATAGTGTTTTTTGTTATTTGTTTAACATGATCATTACGGGCATTGCGACCTTGTTGATTTATAACTAGATTTTTAAGCTGCGATTGATGGTGCATTTATCCAGGTGGTTTACACTTTATTGTAATTAATAGAGTTATTGTTTTACAGAATTTGTAATTTAATTTCATTTTAATAAATGTATTTATTTGTTGCTAAGTTAAACGAAAAACAAATACAATGTATTTTGCAAATGAATCACGCATAAAATACTTTGTAAATTTATTTTCTAATTGACACAGCATTTTGCACCAGAATTAATATGTTGGTTAATACATTAAGTGCAGGTGTTATCTAATTAGTTAACAACAAAATTAATTTAAAATTTGTTAAGGGCAACTTTAGTACAGAAATTAATCAAATATATTTATTTTTTATTATTCTAAACAAGTTTATATAAAACATATAAAACTATAATAATTATTGGTTAAATTATTTAATTTATTAAGTAGATAGAGGCTGTTAAATTATGTTATTCAAATAGAAAATTATTAAATTAGCATACAGTATATTTATTTATATAATTAAATTTATAAAATTAGTATTTTAGTAAAAAAATTAATATTGTTTATTTAGCACAATAAAGTTACTATGCTTTTTAATTATGCTGGTATTGTTGTATATTACATATATTATTACACAATACACTTTATTTTGATTATTACTGAAACCTGTTTCAATAATTATAAGTTAATAGCTGTTTATAACGCATGCGATATTGTACCTTTAGATAAAATGCCATGATTGTTTTGTTATGTTTTAACAATACCAACATTAATTTTACCAATATTAATAATAAATTATTATTAATAATCTAATGTAAAATATGTAGAAATCATCTTAAATTGCATTAAATTGAATTACATTTTGTACAAGATATCAGTATTTTCTTCACTGCAAATGTCTGTAGTATAATGTGATAACTTATCATATGATAAGTTTGTGATAATATTTAATAAATTTCTATTTAATTGACAAACACACATGTAAATATAAATTAGTAAATAGTTTAATAATTAATAAAATGAATCTATATATTAAATATATCTCACTATTAACCACAATTTTGGTATTATATTTGGTACTAGTTCTTGGCGACAATAACACCAAGGGTAAATACTGTAACTACATACATAAATCATTATAAATGGTACGATAATACAGTATAAAGTAACATAACATTATATATCAATCTAGAAACAAATAAAACCTATGATGAACTGCCGGTGCCTTCAAAACCCAAGTATTTTCCAAAAATATTTACTCGATTACACGGAGTTGTATTGACCATAGCGTGGCTGGCCATCAATCCCATAGCCATTGTACTAATACGGTATTTTAAGCGTGTGGAAATATTACCAGGCACAATTGGGCTAAAAATGCACAGGTTGTTTATGTACGCCAATTTGGGCCTTAATGCTTTTGGCGGCCTATTTATATACATGCGGATCGGCGGTTGGTCCGGGGTTTGTACCATATATTTTTATAACTAGATCAGATTAATTATTGTTAATTGTAACCCTAATATATTATGTATTATTTGTAAACTTACTCAATGTTGACATAATCAATGAATTACAGATATTTTATTTATTTAATTGTGGTTGATTTATTTGTAAAGATACAATTTCATACAGTGTGTGGACTAATAACCATGTTATCGGTATTAACGCAAACAATCATTACACAATTTTTCCGCCACAAAATTGACCGTGCACTATTTAATTGGTCACATACTATAGCGGGTTATGCAACGTACATTTTTGCCGGTATGTACAGTGTGTTCAACGTATTTCGTAAATAAAATTATTTTATTTAATAGTGATTACAATATACTGTTCGCTCGACTACCGGGTGGTCAAAACTAGACGCTCACAATTACTATGGCTCTTAAACGTGCTAGTTATTACAAAAATCATCATGGTCATAGTGTTTGAGTTATCATGTTTACAAGACAAGCCTAATAAGAAAAATGATCGTGATAAATCTAGTGACAAAAATCAAGCTGCTAAAAAACAAGTCAAGTTTAAGCTACCAAATAATGTAAGTCAATTAATGTCATATCATTTACGGGTAATTAATTGTTTTTACGTATATTTTTAATTACAGACAAACTCTGATAGTAGTGGCCGTAAATTGCGATCACTACAAACTACAGTCGTATGCATTACAGTAATTACTGGGGCGATATGCGTGTATATACTGTACCCATAGTTATGCATATAATGAACAAATTATAATAAATTGATATTAATTTAGTTACACATTATAATACACTAATTAATTGCAAGTTTATTAATAATAACAACTAAAAGTAATAATTAAAAATAAATACAAAATTTAATTTAAAAAACATCTTGATTAATTAATCGCAACGACAACCACTAGAGCCACAGTAACCCCGATTATAGCCCAGTCGTTGCAACATACGGCCCGCCGGTAGCGCCGGCGGCACCGGTACGTCGGACTCGGCGGGCACTGAGTAGGGGTAACGCCGGCGTCGGTTATACGCGTAGTCGTCGTCGTCGTAGTGGTCGTCATAGCCGTATCGACGCGAACAATACCGGTCGCACTCGACCTGATCGCACTCGCATACGCATAGGCCGTTACGGCACCATCCAGTCAGACGACCACGGTAATATTCGCGACAGTGTAGGTTGCAGTACCGGTCAGAGCGTCGCGAACAGTACTCCCCTGTACTGATTAGCTGATCTAGGTGGAAATTTTTTTGTATAATAAGTATGTATTGTATTTTTATAAATATATGTTTTTACCATGTTTTAATAAACTGTAAATGTATTTTTAATTATTATTATTAAGCTAATTTAAAATAATTTGCTTAAGATATAAACGTATTTATTTCATAAAAAACAATGAACTTACTTTCATCTAAGTTAATTGTATTAATGTAATTTAAATGAACACTATGTACAATGTTTTAAAAGTTGCTACTAGTTTTTTTTAAAATAGATTGATATTAAATAAACAATTAATATTTACAATTAGTACATACTTCCCAACACACCCCTGACCACCGACGAGCTGACAGCGTCGGCAGCGCCGGCTACGGCCGCGCCGACCACATCGCCGATCATATCCAAGAGGTCAGCTTCGCGGCCATCCCTGTCCTCACTGTCCGTATGATTTACGGTCGACTCCTGGGGCAGGATATCCCCGGCCTGTCCCTCACCGGACATGTTATTTGTTGGCACATCACTAGCACTGGTATTGCACCCGATATTATGTACACATATTAGGAAATAAGTTTTTAGTATTGTTACCAATAGTATTGATTTGGTGTACATTTTTAGTGACAATTTAATGAAACATTAAAATTTTGCTTTAATTTTAGGTTATATTTATAACAGTTTTTATTAGTGTTGGTAAACCTATTAATCTATTAAAATAATTTTAATTGGAACTTATTATTAATATACTGGTAGAGGAATATACAGGTATTTATTATGCATCTATTTGAAAAATTTATAATTTACAGTATAACATAATAATTTTGTACTTTATAATGCGTTTTATTAATAATATAAATAAAATACTAATATTTTTTGTATTGTTATTTTAATTATCATTGTTAATCAGTATGTTATTTACCATAATCTAATTGTAGCTTACAGTAACTGTTTGTTTGCAATATCTGGTGTTAACTGTATTTGAGGAAATTTACCATAAATATTGATGGTAAAAATAATGTCAACATTTATATTCGTATCAATGGGTTATTGTTGCCCTCATTATTAAACATGATTATTTGTGAGTGAACTATAGAGAGAGAGAGAGAGAGAGAGAGAGAGCGAGATTATTTTAAAAATTCCGATAAGTAAAAATACTTTTTACATAATACTTTACATAGAATGTACTACGTTAATAAAGTTATTTTGACTAAAAATCCAATTGTCAATTTCTAATGTTTAGTTGGCGATAGATAATTTATTTGCAAATTAGGCAGTTTAGTAAAAAACAAACGAGCAGTTAAAATTTTTTAAACTCTCAACATGTTGTAATGCCATAAATAATATTCACTTACGTAAATGATTAAACCAATCATGATGATTAATTTTCTATATTTAAACAATTTTGCATAATTTTAAAATTATTTTTAATTTATTCAATGATAGTCGTATTAAGCATACATTATTCTTATCAGTTATAACATGGATGAATTACAAAAGTTTGTGTTACAATTAAATAACTATGAATGCCTAATATTAGCCATGGTATACGTTATAGAAATGTTGGTATTACTCACTAGTGTCGGTAAAGTGAATCATGTTTCACGTGATTCACGCTCACTCAC